CATGCTTACGCCACCGCACTATCTGGGAACGGCACTGGGCGATGAGTTACACTGTTAATAAGTGGACTGAAGTTATCTGTCTATCCTGCTAGCTTCTCATCGTCCAGTATCAGTTCTACATGAGGGTTCCGGAGGATACACTTGCGTTTGCTGCTGACCAGAACCACGGAGGTTTAGATGAAACGGTTCTGAACAGATACCAACGTTTGATGCTATCGAAAGCAGAAATGACCTTTCAGCGGAGCTAATAGACCGGTTCCGTAAATTTCGGAAGTTAGGTTCGTTGGAATTACGCTTCTGGGTGGCCCGCTTGGATTGTTGTGCTATTCTGTACGAGATCTATCTTTTGCTTCGGTGTGGTGTATAGCTCAGTTTGGATGTGCCAACCCGTTTCTTCGCTGATTTTATGTTATGCTGTGATTTTTCAGCGGAGACACGTTGGATATTCGGAATTGTTTCCTTTGGTAGTTAGTTCGTTGGTTAGTTGGTTACTTCTTTCGTTCGTTCGTTATTTATTTATTCATTTAGTTATTTATTTATTTATTTAGTTAGTTAGTTAGTTAGAAAGGGTACCTTGGGGCGTTCCTGTCGGATTTTCGTGAGACTTGTATACTGAACACACGTATGTGTGATCCACGGCTGTTTGGTCTCAGCGTAGTAACTGACCGTAATCTACCACAAACTCACAGAGATCAGCTACCAGGATGCGGTCTATCCTGGAAGCAACACATCCATCGTTAGGCTACCACACGGGCGGATGAATTTTCGAGCGTTTAAAGTATGTTTCAGAGACCATGAATTGCGCTAAGTTCACCAAGTGCATTTCGCTCGAGGATTGGTCTTCTGAGCCATATCGCCCATAATATGGTGCATAACATCTTCCGAGGTACAAATACGTGAGTTTCTATCATTAAGAGAAACTCACTGCTAGGGATTCAATTTGTTGTGTGCGGAATTCAACCGTCTGTTCAGTTTCTCAGCATTTTTCGTTCAGCGTTGTTAGATGCCAGTTTACCCATTTCAGTTGTCGGATTGGAGTTACGGTGTTGATCTAACATAAGGCTTTCATGTAACTTTTTCAGCATCGTTCAGTAGGCTTCCATCCTTCAACTTTCTTTAAACCTCTCAATCAAGCTTTTCTCCTCTGTGGTTTTGTGACAGTTAAGTACGAGTTTATACCACTGGTTTATTATTGTCCATGATAATAGTGGGAATAATCACTGGTTTTTATCCCGCGATCTTCTGTTCAATTTACACCCGAATCAGTCCAGCGCTTTGTTTACTATGGCATCCATCCTATTTGTCCCCGAATCCTATCACTAGCAGTGTCAAACAATGTCCTCGTTTTTGTCCATCTCAGAAGCATAAAGCGTACAACAGCACAACACCCCATGACTCTTCTGCAAGCCTTTATGTGTTCTCGTGTTGGTTGATGGAGAAGTTTAGTACAAACCGGATATTGTTTCCGCTTTCAAAAGTACTTGAAGGACGGGCTAAAGGCACAGAGTTGTTTTGTTCCGTCCATTGCACTGAGAACTGAGTGAATGACTGAAGAGATGTTCTTGTCAAAAGTGGTGGTCAGATGAGCGAAGCTAAAGACTGTGATTGAGTGTTCCCATCCGAAACCAGCTGATTCTGCGTTGTAATTTGAGAAAAATGTTTGCGATCCTGGTGAAAGAAAATTAGCATTTGAGCTGAGGCTCCACCAAGAGATTATGTTCGTTTTTAGTGCGTGTAAGTGTGTATGTGCTTTTGAATGATTTGCGGATCTGTGTTATGCTCGAAAAGTTTTCGAATAAACCCTACTGCGACAGATCTAGGGCTAGTTGTCTACCAGTTTGCTCTAGTGTTTTAATACTGACTGTTTGATGTATGAACAAAGGCAAGTACCAAAGAGATAATGAATTTCAGCGAAATTAGTTGTAACAGCAGGACAAGGTGTTGTTTTTGGATGGAATCGTTGGTGGCAAAGGTCATGCCGCGGCGTAAACGGCGAACTGCGTAGTCAACGCAATTACACCATTGGCGAAAGGTTTCGCGCATATAGAAAAGTAAGGCAGCGCGAGTGGTTACACCGTTTGGGTTTTGACTGGTCTGAGGACTGGAGGACTGTTTTTGTGATGGCCCTACAATGAGCCTCTGGCTGATGAGCCTGACACAATGCAGTGAGCGGATGTACAGGGTTCGCCGCCCACAGGAGGACTATTGTCGCGACGACATTGATTACGCCTTTCGGATTACCAGGAACCGTCCAGGGTGTCCAATAGACCCTACGGTCACATGTCGGTGCACATCAAAGAAGATAAACGTACACTTCTTGGATTCCAGAAGCACCGAAGACTTGTGGAAATCCAATCATGGGAGCCGATACGGGAGGGTAAATTTATACACAACTAAACGGGAAGACAACTAGCAAGACTACCCATCACAAAGCGATGGTAGAATACAACCATCGTTTTTCCGCTACTTCAAGGACTACTGAGTTAGTCCTTAATGAGGATCTTAGCTACCTTGATATGGTAACGTATAAACAGGCTAATTGAAACAGAGACACTGGTCGTGGGCTTTGTTTCACGTGGATATTAACGGGGACGGTGTGCCACAATGATTCCACAAAAAAGTATACAACCAGGCGCACAAAACTATTTCACTTATGACACGCATGTTTCAAAACCAGATTGCAGTACTCTGCTTTTCAGTTACTCACAACATTGCATCTGTGAAGCTAAGCAGAAGCCGATTTCTCCCGAAACACTCATCTAGCTAAGTGCTTATCAGTCAATTTAATTTGTGGCGGCTATTTTCAATCTGCAGATGCGCTACTACTAATATCTTGGATTGTGACACCTAAAACACAATAATCTGATGCGAGATAGCCAGCCATGCGAATTCACCCCGTGGTCTAATGATATACACTATCATTGGGGCGGAGACAGCCCATCGATGTCAGCTTTGATCGTACTGAGCCAGGCTTTGTCAGCTAGATCGATACTCTGTCAGAGCTTGTTGTAGTTTGTTTTGATTAGTGTTAAATCCAGTGATGATGGATTACTGATCACAGAAGCGTTCCGTCGTGCTGCATTAGGGAGCCTATCGGGACGGAAAACATGCAATGTCCTCCGCTGGTACCTGTGATCATAAGCCCCCTAAACTCTGACTTTCAGCAGCCCTTAGGGACCAAGGCCTTGTAAGTGTGGGGAGAAGTCAGTCAAGGGGCATATTTTCATTGGAGATTTCGCCCGATGGATGAAGTCACTCCATGCCCAAGAGCACCGTACAACTGTTTTCTTCTTGGGACACATCTCATGGATCCTTAGGACGCCTCGAACTCGCGACGTCCTTGATTGTAGTTGGGGGCCAAACCTCTCAGTCCCGAACGGTTGACCAGAAGTTTCAGTAATTCACAATTAGACAGGATCTACGATTCATCCTTCAATCATGCGATTCACATCACGTGGTCACCTGATAAGGTGCTAGAACAAGTAGAGCAAGTAGATCATAAGATTGACGGAAACTCAGGGGCTGCGACTATGAGCCCCACCCCAAGAAGGGCAAAACCGGTCGTGGGCTGTCGAAGAGTTTTCAGCAACCTTGTGAGTAGTTCCCTTTATGAAAAAAGGTGTTGGAACACTTGTGTCGAGCTGTTGTGTCCAGCTACCGCCCGAGAGGTCGTGGATTAGAAACCATCTAAGGTTTATGAGATATTCACTGCTGATATTTATCAACAAGGATAAAACACCGCGTTTACAGGGCCGAATCTCGCTTCAGTATAAAAGTGTTGGCTTATCACGGCTGACTTTTCAGAGGATAAATCAACCGTACGGAACATTTCTACCGAAGTTCAATGAGGGCCTTGTCTTCAAAAGCATCTGAAGCCCGTTTGAGTTCGTCTTTTATTTTGACATGTCCAACTGTGTGAAGTATGGTTCCAGTGTTCCATGGTTAATGTTGACTTGCTGAATGTCCGGAAGCTACTTATTAGCGAATACACTAAATTTGGTCTTAGCGAAAGAGCCAACTGAGTTCTAGACGAATCTCTCGTTTATGATGTTTTCAACCAAATACGCTTCACGAAGGCCACCTCATTTTTCGGTTGGTAAGATATTTAAAATATCGAGGCATATTTTTTAGATGTATTTTGTCTCATAGGGTTGCTGAAAAACCCTCGACAGACCACGTTCGGTTTGACCCTTGGGGCCATCAAGTAGGGGCAGCCACAGAGCTTTCGTTTGAAGAATTTAACATTGACGAAAAACTGGGTGACAGTGTCTAACTGACAAATCCTAACAGAAGTGAAACTGGTCGAGGACTGTCGAAGAGTTTTTAGCAGGCCTGTGAATAGTGTTCCGTGAAGCGAAGCGTGCACTGACTCGAAGTTGGTGTTTCCCTCCATCTGATTGGATAAAACATTCCAGGGCGTTGAGTGCCTGGAAATTTGATTCTCCTAGACATGCTTCGGCGTGCGAAAGATGACACCATATTAGTAACCAGAGGTGATCGGTTCCGAAGCCGCTATTCAACGCGTGAGGAAGCAATGTAATGTTTCTCTGTGATCCACGACTTCAGCATCCGTACTGGTATTCGTAAAAAGATTCCGCGGCTTTCTGCTGCTTACTGATTTTATGAGACCTGTTTATCGTTTGGGTTAGTGAATGTCTGCGGACAGATCGTGAGAAAGGCGAGTATAAGTCGAATTGGTCATATTGATACCATTGATCAATGACGCTTGTTTATCATCAATACCAAATACAGTGACGTCATTGTTGACACTGATGCTTCACTCCGTACAACCAAAAACCTTATTCAAGTATAATTAAAGAGTGGGTGAGGAAGGGGTCCTGGTGCTGGCCTGCCGCAAGCCTTCTACCTACGCCTCCAGACGCTAAATCAGACAATCTAAGAAAAGTTCGTTTGTAAGGACTAACAGCGCCATTTGTTCCAGGTAGAAATGAAGTTGATGTTATCCACTCGTACATACCATTTATTGTTCCGTTCTTCAGATGATCACCCCACTTCAGAAACTGTGAGTTATCATCTTCAAGCTGCTTGATCAAATTTCTCTCATCTGGATAGATCGACATCATTCCCTCAGTTTGTGTATTTGGGTGAACAGTTACAACGCGTGGATCCCAACGGACTGAAATGTGCTGTTCATGGAATGTATTTCACGAACACAGATGCCAAATTTTTAAATGAGTTCTCCAATCGCGCTTACGTTATGGTAAGACTGATATTGCTGATTTTGATTATGCCAAGTCGGTAGATGCATTTACGTTTTGATGGGCACTTTGGATTTCCTGGCGGAGTTGTTGATCCGGAAGATGAAACGATCGTTTCTGCTCTGAATCGGGAGGTGGCAGAAGAAATGGGGGCAACTCGAGCAGATGTGGCTTTCAGAGATGAAGACTTCGTTGTGGTACACCAGTGCACACGATCGAAATATTTGCTTTACTTTTTCGCAAAGCGCGTAACGATGGATCAGTTCGAATACTTGGAACAGACCACACTGAGGGCGGAAGAATATGGACGGGAAGTAAGTTACATCGATCAAAGCGTGTCGTTGATTTTCAGACAATGGGGGTGGTTCGTGTCCCCATTTATACGATGGAGGAGGGATTCCGGGGACTCCCGGCCTTCCTCACTAACAGTTTTGCGGGTAACGCCAAGCTGCAGCTACTCTCAGGATTGCTAGTGAGCAGCATCCTAAGTTGGGAGGAAATACACGGCGCTTTGCGAGCTTCTTGTCCTAGTTCTATCTCAGCTTGAAGGAGGATCGGCTATTCGGCGAGAAGACTCAAAGCTCGCACTGAGTAAACATGGAATCGCGTTTGCTGTTGCTCCTTTCTGTCATACGTAGAAAAATGATGCCAATATGCGCTGTACAAATAAGGCGTGCACGTTTATGGTTTGAAAATACATAGCTTGCAATACCGACTTTTCCCAACCCTGTGGCCATTGCTCGTTTGGTGGCGCAATTTTCCACCCACTGAAGCCTCACTAAATAAAAAGGAGTTGTTTTTGACCCGAGGGTTCCCTGTTATATGACCTTTAATGAAGTCATTTTCAATGGTTTTGCCATACCAGTACGACCAAAGGCTTTTGTGGGGATTTACTCAATTTTGAGAGAGCAAATAACGCCAGACATAAGCTGCAAGTAAATGGAACAGCAATGTTTGAGTGAACTACTTCTTTTTGCCTTTGGTTCGAATATGAAACACTGTGATAGTCCCATCTACAATTAACTCAAACCCACCCATATTTTTCATTCTTAATTCGGCTGTTTTTCACGATCAGTATAAACCTATCCAGTATGAGAGGCCCGAACACCAAAAACACCCATCATCTCTGTACTACACAGCAACGATGCCTCTATTTTCTGCGTTACAACCATAAAATCCACTTTTACGATCCTCATTCGAGAAGAAGGATAAAGAGAATGGGGACGGACCTTCTATCAACTCATCACAACTATTCGGAGATGCCTACACCTCGTGTTGAGTGAAATATTTTAGGACAATGACCGTAACCTACAGCGTCACCAACCAAGCGCAGGGAGGGGGAACTGTTCTGCGTGGTGAATAATATTAAGCCCGAACATTCCGCAACCTCTGTCTGGTCACCGTTACCTCGCTGTTTGGGCCGTTTTGTAAAACGGTATACAAAATACCACCGGTCTCAATGGGTGAACTGGCATGTGTAGCACGTGATCTAGCGACCATAGTTTGTAGTGTCGCTCACCTTTCACAATGTTTGCTATCCCGAGGCTCTCACATCAAACTATGTTGTAACATAGCACTATCCTTGTTTGAAGTAACAAGTGTGATTGATTTTGTTTTTTGGGGATCAGTTGTGAGCGCAAGCCTCTGAAACCGTCATTAAATGATTCCCCAAATTTCTGTACCCAAATACTCCATTTTCTGCCCTGCGAACTCATTACTTTCGGTTAAACCACACAGATTTCTGTCGAAAATGAATGGATAACTCCGTATGTACAGGTGGGAGAGGGGACCTAGTGCTGGCCTATGTCAAGCATTCTGAGGTGCTTACACCTCCAACCTCTCAATCAGGCAATCTGGGAAGAAACCGACAGCACGAACAGCACTGACATCGACTAGTCGTCATTTCTTGCAACGTCTCCAGCCACGCACAGACGGGGTTACGGACACCCCATCCTGGAGGGTGTACAACACCCAAACTCTTCGTGATCACTTTCATGCCTTCCGTCAAGGTCATATGCTGTCCACCTCGCGGTTTGCGCCATCCGGAAGAAGGCACAGAGAACAACACTCGTCTCGGTAGGCGGTGTTCCGGCATGCGTAGCACATGACCGAGCCATCGTAGTCGATGACGCCGGATATTTTCTTGGATTGAGGTGCCTGCAGCACAACCAAATACCCGTTTTTTAATCACCTCGTTACTAACACGCTGATGCCATCCGTAACCAGCCACGCTTCTGAGGCATCGGTGGTCGAAAACCTGAGGACGCTTCACATCATCTGTCCACAGAGGCCATGTGATGAATAGTAGGATTGATAGCAACGCGGAGGCTACGCCTACCCGAGGAGCTCTGTAAAGAACGAAATTGGAAGTTAGTTGTCAAGGGGTTTTCGCCAACCTTAGGGTTAGTGTCACTTCGTTTCACCCGATAACTGTGACAGACATCTTACAATACATTCGATAAAAGAATATTATGAACGGGAAGTGCCTTCAGGTAGATTAAGGACGGTCATCCAAACAATTATTTTTGGTATATCCTCAATCCATTGCTTGAGCAAAGGTGGTTTAGGATGCAGTAGCCGAATTAAAGTCAAGTAATACAGTAGTAGTAAGTGGCGTATTCGTGATCCAAGTCTTCACATGGGCGCACAGCCTGAACCTTGTTCACACACTTCGACAGAACGCTGTCAGGAAAGTCAAGTAATACAGTAGTAGTAAGTGGTGTATTCGTGATCCAAGTTTTCACATGGGCGCACAGACTGAACCTTGTTCACACACTTCGTCAGAAAGCTGTCAGAATCCTCAATCCATTGCTTGAGCAAAGGTGGTTTAGGATGCAGTAGCCGAATTAAAGTCAAGTAATACAGTAGTAGTAAGTGGCGTATTCGTGATCCAAGTCTTCACATGGGCGCACAGCCTGAACCTTGTTCACACACTTCGACAGAACGCTGTCAGGCATGTGTAAAGCGTCATGTAGGCAAACTAACAGTAGAGATTACGCGAAAGTTTCCTGTGCATATAAGCCTAACCCGTGGTGATGGATTCCCACTGTTTGTAGTAAGCCAACCATTCTGGGTCCTCCACAAGAGCAAGCAAATTGATAAAAATACGGAGAGGGAGCTTATCTAGGAAGGCTTTCCTGTAGCATTTGTCTAACACTGAACGGCCAGTGAAGGTCGGACGTAGTTTAACAGCACGGAATGTCCGCTCAAAGGCTCTGTTTAGTTTCTGATTGACAGTTCCCTAGCTACATAGCCTTTTGACGGCATTTCCGGATACATCAATTTTCGTGGCAGTTCCGTGCTGATACGCTGTCGTCCATCATTCGTTCCAGAAGTCAATCAGGATAATCATTATCGTCCAAGTTCTTGACGAAATGATCACATTATTCTGGAAGTTTTCAGCGCGCACCTGTTCACTATGTCGTGCGCACAGTGCATCAGACTTTTCACCTTGAAGAGAACAGAATTGGTGTAACTTGTATACCGCCTACCCAAGCAGACTTCCAGCACTCAATCCTATTTGCAGCTCGTCACGTGATAAGTGTGTATGTACAACAGGGATAGGTAGGTCTTTCGTTTCATCATATGTCAACAAAGCATCATTTCAGTTAAAGTTTCAGTGGTTACAGTCCTCTGAGTAGTGTGTTTTCTAGGTTCGAATCGGAATGCTCCATCAGTGCCGTTCGAAAGATGGTACCCGTCCGCCGTAATTCCTTCACGTCCAAAACATGTTATTCTGTACTTTCTCATCATGTCGCTTAGCTGCCGTTTTTAGTATCTGGAGTCATCGCGTTGCAATATGCCTAACAATTACGCCCTAAAGCAAAATTCTATTGGTCTGATATGTCAAGCGTGAAAACGGAATTTATCGATCCAACGAACAATTTCACAAGCTAGGCATGGAAGTACCATTCCCGTGGTCATTTAGCTGCTGAAATAAATCGATTAAACTTGAGCTCCTAACCATCATCTCAGATCTGATGGTTCCAGGATTTCTCGCCTGAGCAGTCGGCTCACAGCCAATGCCAAACACGTGGCTGATGCACTCAATGCACATCGACCGATTCCAGCAGCAAACCCGACACTTACACAGAAGAGACTTTTATATGTTTCACCCACTGGATAGTGCAGGTACATACAGCTTCGTTGCAATATAGCAAGTTACGGAATAACTCCACGGGGGAAAAGAAACATCGCAAAAATCGTAATTCTTGCTAGTCCCCCAAAGTGACACACCACTATGGAGTGCAGGAGCACAGCATGGTAGGGAGCACATTAAAGTCTACCACTTTTATATCCTGAAACCTACAACCCACAGAGAAAAATATAGTAACAGGTAAACAGGGGCGCTTCAGCTATCGTTTCTGGAGTCAAACGCTCTCAGTAATGTTTGGGGAGGATATCCGGAATTCACACGAATCGCAATCCGTTGCTGGAGATTTAAGAGAGGAGAGTTTGACCAAGGAAATTCCACCAGCTTGTTACCCAAAAACGGAATGATGAACATATCCTGGATAGACAACCCCTACAGTCAGTGTTTCTCGGTCTTTCAGCAGAGATGAGGTTCAATTGCAGGACGAAATTTCAACTGAATAACCAGTGTTATGTTCGCTATTGTACGCGAAATAGCTCAATTATTAAGGCGTGCCCTTATTGGTCACAAGGTCCATGGTTCGAACCCAACCTCAGTATTTCGACTGCTCTTGTCTAGGATTGAATGAAATGACATGCCATTTCATGTGTCTCCTTCCTGTTGCATGGCAGCTAAACAGAGAGGCTTACAGTTGAACGAACGATCTACGTCACCGATGGTAGGCTGTGCACTGAGTAATCGATTCGCCGCTGAGAATTAAGGTGCTCGGTTTCAAATATAAATAGGTGCGCCAGAGTAATGATGACAGACGGTAACACGAAAACCTTGACCAGCAGAGTTAAATCGATTGCCGTTTCCAGTGATGGACTCCAATGCTTTCCACTCAGCAACTCCTCGTCGTAGAAAAGTCCTCTATTCCTGAAACCAAATATTAGTATTGCTAATCTACCCACCAGACCCGAGACAGTTACAGTAAAATCCAAGAGGTTTCATACATTTACTGCACACAAAAACCATGTATCCGATCCACAAGGTAGTATGGATCATACCGTTGTCGTCTATACTGTGCCGCTGATAGACACCGACGCCACGCCGGTTGCATAGAAGTCGGAACCTAGCGAAGGCTACCTGGCCTTAGACAACGGGAGGTTCCTAGGAACGAACTGAACAGAAACATGTTTGCTTTTTATTTCCACATCTTCTACGGCTTGTAATTTATTACCTTACATGCGCAAGCCATTTCCACCAAGATGATAGTTAAGGTGCCGAACAGTGAATGAATTCATTTCTTGATATATTCATTTTTAATCCACTCTTCTGAATTATATCCCATGTACTTTTAGATGTCTTTCCGCTGCTCCTCCGGACAAAGGCACGAAAAAAGGGAACGTCTTTTTTTGAAACTTACAATTATCTGGAGAAAACGGTCGAAGGGATTATGTTTGGAGTGATAG